CTTCCGCAGTTACGGAAGCAGAAACTTCCGCAGTTACGGAAGCAGAAGAGGTCTGTTGCGTCACTAAACCTTACCCTTCAAATCCGAAACACAATAATGCCCACATTACTGCTGCGCGGCAGAAATAGGTAGTAACTCGACGACGAACTCTTTCACAAGAAGCGCTACTGCCACTAAGTTTATAATCGCTCATTATAAAAGCAGAAACTTTGGTTTCGGATCATTGACCAGCTATTTGCGAGTTTAGTTTTAGCATTAAACATCCGAGTTTGAAGTGTCTTCCTTACTTGCTAATTTTGTGTCTTGTTTCAGATACACACTGATCGCGTATTACGACATGTACGCCCAGATATACACCACCACTAGGATCTGGGTGCAGCTGCTGCTCATCTGGCTCGTCTCCTTCGGTCTAATGGTAAATATCTTGTGTTTTTTTTATAAGAATGCATGTTGGGTTGAAGACGGTAATTTTTTTTAAGAAAAATAGGCAAGCATTTTGTTTGTAATAAAAAGCGCTCTGTCGGCTTTATAAGTATTTTATATGAACTGGCGTACTAGATGCGGCGTTCCATACACACGTTCGGTGTCTTGCACTTATAATAAATAAATAAATAAATAAATAAATAAAATGTTTAATTCAGTTATACAATTATCTTTACATTAACAGATTTTAAGCTTATCAAGCCTGTGTCAGGAGGCACCGCTCTTCCATAGCTATAAATGCACATTTAACATTTTTAAGTTATACTTCATTTAGTGTTTAATTTTTAAATATCCAAAAAACGTCAAGACAAACTATTTTTAACAATTTTCAACATTCTTAACTTCTAACTTTAAATTTAATTTTAATTTTAAAACGTGCGTGTTTGTCTGTGTGAATGTGAGTATGTGTGTGCGTGCGCGCGCGCACGCGTGTGTGTGTGTGTTTGTTTAAAGCTGTTGCCATAGATTAGGAGAGTAATGTTTTTAAAGCAAGTTTTCTAGTACATTTAGGTTTCCTCATATGATGTGGACTAGCCATGTTGATATAAGTTTCTTGCAATCTTTATAACTTTTAGCATATATTTCTAATTCCTTATTAATTATATTATATAAATGGGCCGATCGTTTTTGAATTGTCTGTTTGCAAATGTCGTATTTACTTTAGGTACTTGTAGTGTCTCTCCTTCTCCTCTTCGGAATATTTAGATCATATTTTAGAGACCTATGTTGTCTGAGTACAGTTTGAATGATGTAGAGTTTCCTTACAGTTGCTAAATTTGATAGTTGATACTGCTAGTGGAAAACCTTCTTTTACAAAATACATAATTTTAAGCAAATTGCGTTGCGCACGTTCCAACTCAAGAAAACGAGTTTTTGCAGCTCCACCCCATACAGGAATACAATACATATTGAACCAAACTCACGTACATTTCCTTAAGTATATCAAGTATATCCCTAGACGACGAACCTGGCACTACAAATCTCAGTGTGTTAAACCCAACTCCAACTGATGTGCGGTGAAGACACAACAATTCAATATAACATTAATAAGCAACAGAGTGTTCTGACTACACATTTACAGAGTATAGATATATAGAGTATTATATGAATAAAATAGTTACCAAGGTTAGCATATATAAATTTGAAAATAAGAAAAAGACTGGGCTGCATGGTCTAAAGATCTTTTGCCTTGCCACAAGGAAAAGTACATAACGTCAATAATTTCAACAACTCGACTGTATTTTGTTCTTTTGCTTAAGAGGGAGCATGCCAAAAAAGTTTTGACGTTGGCTCCGCCCACATTTGTGGGACAAATATATGCCTGAAGTTCGCGTGACATGCGACAGGAGATGTTGAATTTTGCGCATTAAAAGTACCAAATTCGTTTTAGCGGAATAACTCTAAAACTAAAGGGATTAAAAAAAATCCGTAGTGACAGTTCTCGATCATGCATAAATAAAATTAATTATCTAATTTTTGTCCTAATAACCTGTAGCATTTCGAGGATGAATCAAAAAATGTGAAAATTAGAGGTCATTTCGTGATTTTCATCTATCGAGGAAACTTTATTGTTTTATGTTTCTGATTAGTGTCTATGCTTCAATATGTCGTGTAGTTACTCATACAATATTTTATTTTTAACTTTAAAGTGGATATACCTCTCTAAAATCAAATCGAAGGTCAGGAGTTTTTCCTCTGCTCCCTCTTAATTTGTTTTTCTTTTTAGTAATATAATTTTAAAAATAGTAACCTTAAAGCCCCTATGTTAAAGCAAAATGACAAGTGTTGTGTAACTAATAGCCACTTTATTAATTCCCCGATTCAATATTATCTGCCTGCCTAGCTCATTCCCTATAGGTACCTATAGACACTGTCCTGTCCACGCGACGATACTACGGTATTGATACTCTTTGACAAAATTCAACAGTAAAACAAAACATTGTCACTACTGAAAGTGTTTTGTTCGGATCATGGAATTGCTGTGAATGTTCTTCTATAGATTGAAGTCGTTGATTGCACCTTGCACGTAAAGAGTATGATTACAAAGGCTAGCTTGACTATAATGCACCAAATAAAGCCCTTGGGCCTTTTTGGGTCATGTTTTATCATTGTTCATGTATACGTGCAAGTGTGATGAAGAATAATGTATGTCTCACGGGCGGTATGGGAGTTATGACCTCGACTCCGAAAACCCTCAGTCTTCGACTTCGATATTCTAATAGAGTCTCCTTCGTAATTCCTTATTTAGTGCCTTATATACACTGTACTATTTTTTCTGAAAAAGTTTAGTTTGTTATTATTATCGATAATAATAATAATAATAATAATAATAATAATAATGTTTATTTCCTCACCAACAACCAAAATAATAACAGTATTTCTTAAGCTAATGTATACAAGAAATCTGGTTGTGGATCGCTGGTGCCTGTGATAGGTAATAAAATTACCTGTGTTACTGGTCACCAGGGTTCCACTCGGAAGCTATGTAACGTGCTTATTGCTCAGTAACAGCAAAACTGACTATTTTAACAATTTCTATTGGTTGATGTTAGTACTTACTTAGGAAATAGTGTTACTTAGAAAATAATGTGTGTGTGTGTGTGTGTGTGTGT